GGCATAGGGTGGGATGTGCAACACAGAGAAGACACTTCTCTCTCCCCCCCACTTTATTCTTCTTTCTTAGGATTGCTTTGGCTATTCGGGGTCTTTGGTGTTTCCATATGAATTTTTGAACTATTTGTTCTAGTTCATTGAAGAATGTTGTTGGTAATTTGATAGGGATGTGCAACACAGAAGAAGTAGTGATTCTACAACATCTTACTACGCTGATGGACAGTGACTGTAATGGGGTTTGTGGGGGGGGACTTGGTGAAGGGGGGAGTCTAGTAACCATAATGTTCTTCATGTAATTATAGATTAATGATAATAAAAAGCATCAAAAAGGTATGTTATTTTTCTTGATCTGTACAGTGTGTGTGTTTGAAACATTTGTCAGCTGTTTTGCATTTGTTATTTGTTACTTTTCTCTTTCTAAATATTCACTCTCTAGCCCAGTATTGTATTCTTTTTCTTCCTGAACCCTCCCCACCCCACAGATTGTGTACGTTTCGGGCCCCACAAAACCTGCATACCATGTGTTAATGAGAGCCCCTGAGGGAGGGAATGGAACAAATGTAATAGAAGAATAATATTTAAAGAGATAGTAGAAGAAAACTGTCCTCAAATAAAACTTGAATCTTTATAAAAATCTGCCCAAAAACTGCCAAGATGAATGCACCCCTGCAAGAGAGTGAGATAAAGTTGCCTTCCAACTGGCTAAGTGGTACTAACAATTATCAGTTTCCGGCAGCTTTCTGTTTACACTTAGTGGAAACAGGTATGATGATCTCACACAGGAGAGATTGCTCAAAACTTTCAGAGGTTTTGTGTTTGATTTTTAATTCCATAATGTGATAAAGAACAATATTCAAATAACAATGATATCATTTAATTAGCTTCAATAAAAACCAGAGGGAGGCAATTTAGAGTCCTCTTATCAATCCTTTCTTCTTATCATTTCTTAGAGTCTGATATTTCTTGTTCGAGACTGGAGTTTCCCATATGAATTTCCATATGGAGCTGATGGTGGCTCCAAATTCTTGGAAAAACGCCTCAAGGTTTGTTAGATATTTAGATGCATGAAATTTTACCAATAGTAATCTACAATTATTTTTGTTCAATGATTTGCTGGATACCCAATAGCCATATCTCATTTGACCCTCATAGTATCTCTATGAACAGATTAAGACTGATATATAATAAAATACTTTCAGGGTTGCCATTTTAAATACTATCAATAATTATGATACAGATAGTTATTTTATTCATATCTATAAAACAGTGATTTTTTTCCCTAAAGATAAAACTTTTAATTTGAAGAATTAAATCAGTCCAAGACTGAGAGTGTAAGTATCTGGATTCATGTTTTACTAAAGGTTTGAAAGTCAATTTAGCAGAAATATTTAAATTGAAATCCCTGAAGTCCAATCTTAGAACATTATTAGTTCACAGAAAGTGAAATTAGGAGACTTCCCATTTTCTATATCATGATTGTTCATTATTGAATGAATTGAACATATATCACAAAAAATACCTAAAGATCCAGAAAAAAATTGAGAAGAAAAAAAAGTGCCTTCCAGAGAAGACAAGTAATGACTCTATAGCATCTTACTATGCTGCTGGACAGTGACTCTAACAGAGTGTGTGGGGGGGACTTGATAATATGGGTGAATGTTGAAATCACAATATTGCTCATGTGAAACCTTCATAATATTTTATATCAATGATCCCTTAATTTAAAAAATATATATATATAAAAGTACCTTCATAATTGGGATCTCTGAGCTTATCTTTTTAGGTCTATGGTTACTTTTAGAGTAGTTTTTACTAGTAACTGTCAAGTACATGTTTTTAAAAAATGACAATTTAGTTTGTAAGTAAACACAACTATTCAATGCTTTTCTAGAATTTAGATGTATACCTACCTACAAAGGGCTATCTTGAGTATCTGCTGAGAAAAAGGTAGGAAAATTTTAGGATTCATTCATTTCTCTTGTGAACACTGTGAATTAAAATTTGAATTTGTAAGAATTAGCTAGAATAAACCCCTATTAATTTGTACTTAAAATGGAAATTCCCATCTGACAGCAGACATTTATCAATTGTAATAACAGTGCCATATTTATGCCGTACTTAGATGTGGCTACATGGCAAATTCACTGAACACTTTTTTTTCTTTAGTATCAACCCTGTCATGTCATTTTTATCATTGTGGTACCAGACAAATGTAGCAATATAAGATGCCACAGAATTCTTTTGGCGTGCAATTTATGTTGAAAGTAGTTTAAAGTTCAGAATGATTTACTTCAGGTCTCAGGGAACCAGCATGAAGAACTACAGAATGTTCGAAAACACATCCATTCCTGTTTCACCAAAATTTCCTGTTTTCTGCTACCTCATCCTGGCTTAAAAGTAGCTACCAACCCAAACTTTGATGGAAAACTGAAAGGTTTGTGTATCTTTTAATGAATGTTTACATCACTTAGTCTCATTGTAAAGACATCATTTTATCCTCTGGCTTACAGCTGTTAGTTTAGTTTATCCACTGATGTGAGGCTGATCAGAAATTGTCAGGAGAACTGGGAATCCTGGGCTGGTGCTCAGGCACCTCCTTGGTGAACTGTGGGGTTCTATGTGTGCTGAATATGTACACTGGCTGAAAAACTAGCCTCAATCTTGTGTTCACCTGGGAGGCAGCAACTGTCACCCTGTCACAGAGGTTCCTGCTCACCTCTGTGTATTGAGAAATGCTCCTTAATGTCTTCCTGTTTAATTTACCTCACTTACATTAAAGGGGAAAATAGATGTCTATATCATTAGAATGCTGTATTAAGTCATATAATTAGAGATTGAAAGAAATACTGCATAACATTGAATTCAAGCTCTTTGAAACTGCTGCTGAAGAATTTAAATTACAGAAAGCTTCACTAAAAATCCTCTTCTGATAAGGGCCAATTTCTACAAAACCAAAAGCACTAGAGTGTTCTTCAAATCGTATATATTAATGGTATGTAATTATCTTTTAAACAGAAGCATTACTAATGTTTTATGATTCCAAAGCAACTCAACTTGTTAAAAAAAATAAAAAAAGGAGGGTGGGGAGGGTAGAGATAGGAGTCTGGGGAAATGGAAATTAATCTTTCCTAATAGGTAATCATCAGGTTTATAGGTATTGCTTTGTAGTTAATGCAAGATAGCAGTAAGATTTGACTTTTTATTCATGAGCCTCACATTTAGTACATGGAGTTCAAATATTTGCTAATTTACTTGGCCTTTCTGCATTGTGCAAGGGATGGTGAGACAGTGGCATAATGAGCTTTTTAGAATGAATGTTCTCAAAGGGCCTTAAATTTACTTTTAAAAAAGGATAAGGTAACTTGTATCCAGTTTTATGGAACTGGCAGGTGTGAAAAGAATCCTATTATCAAGCCCCCTCCTGCATCATGATACCTTATATTTAATTATGGCAGTATCATAAATAGAATTCCAAATTTCTCAATCATCAGCATTATTTTTACATGTTTTAAAACTTACCTTTATAGAACAGAACCGACAGCAGTAGGCACAGATTAATTTAATGCATAGATTCCAGAATCCTGTAATTTCACCATCACTTACGAATTTCAACACGCTAATGGGCACACAGACCTTTGACACTGTAACTACCGAATGGCTTCAGTGTGTTTTGAATAAATTACATAAAGAGAGGGTTCCCATAGGCCTCTCTTCTCTGAAGCTGGGGAGCTGTAAACAGCAAGAGAAGGGGCAGGCCTACACCAACAGTACTTTTTGGGGACAAAAAAGTACTCTGGCTTGTTCCATTTCTGCAGTAGTACAGCTAAAATTTTCAAATTAACTGATACATTTTGTAATGAAAGGGCTCAGGGAGTTTAAGAATTTACAGGTATAGAATTCTACTTTTTACCAGATTTGTTCTCTATCAAATTTTAGTCACATGTCTAAACACATAGTGACCCACACAACTGGTTTACATGTACCCAAGGGTCACACGTTTTCCAAAGTGGCTAGCCTGAATGAAGTAAAGAGAAATAAAAGGAAGCTTCAGTTGCTCATCAAATGTTCCATTTTGATAAGGCTTTATAGGATTGCTGCTGAATCCCTGTGTGCCGAAATGTGCTGCTTAGCCTCAGTTTCTCCTTGGGCAGTTTTGAAAGTCTACTATTAAACATTGTTTTTCCTTCCCATCATAAATCTTGTAATTTGGGTTTTTTCAGTCCAAGCTGTTATTGTCTGTGTCCATGCTCTTCTCCAGAGAGCTAACATCTCAGTGGTTACCTCTGAGGAAGTATTCAAACAACTGTGCAAGAATTGTTCTTTGATAATAGCTTCTCTCAGAAAGACCAGCAGTAGAACTTTGGGCAAGGAGGATCATTTGCCCCTGAGAAAAGTGGGTTTCAAGGGTTGTTTAGAACATGGGACAGTGAGTGATGACTTTGTCACCAGGGAAGAAATGGAGGAAATCAAAGGCTGTTTTATTGTAGGGCATGGAGAATTGGATAGGATTTTTAAAATTATAATGAATTTGCTTTTACTTGTAGAAATAGATGATGAATTCATCAAAAACTTGAAAATACTCATTCCTTGGCTACTTAGTCCTGAAAGCCTAGATATTAAAGAGATCAATGGGAACAAAATCACCTGCCGAGGTCTGGTGGAGTACTTCAAGGTATTACTCTCATTTCTAGAGGATTTGTACTTAGATTTGACATGTTTTGGTATGCAGTTCCTACTAGGAACAAAAAATATTATAGATTCTGTAATATGGGGCAAAGGCATGAGGAATTTCTAAGAATGATTTTAAAAAATTACTAGACTCCCAAGGAGTTTGCTTTCTGAAGTTTCTTTTTTTGAGAAAACTCCTTGAAACAACTTTACTGTCCCCTTTTATCGTTAGGGAATATGTTTTGAAATACAAATACACCTAAGAGTTGGAAAAGTCTGTTTCTTTTTTGTGGGGAGAGATGTTTCCCAGGGTCCATACCATGTAGTCTTCAGTTACAATCTATACTGAATTTTACCTTCATTATGAAGATTTTCCCAAAGGGGCTATACTTTGCCTTCCTACTGGAGAAAATTCTTCCGCATTTCCTGCTGTCTGCATCAAGAACCAATTGACTGATTATTTTGTATTTGCATTTACCTGCCTTAGGTAGCACTGAATATACTTTTTTTATTAACCAAACCAACAAATAGAGTGGAGGATTTCAGTTACCAACCTAGTATGTGAATTGATGCTCCCAAGATTAAAATAACAGCTTTTTAAATTCATATTTTGTCATTTAAAATGCAGTTGTATATCTCCTGTGTGATAACTTACATTCATCACTCTCAGCAATAAATGACATGTTACTTATCGAAAATTTGAATTCTTACTGTGCATAATACTATGGAAGAGCTTAGAATTTAGGAGATTCAGGACCCTTAGGTAAATCTGTTCCATAAAGCATATGACATCAGGTACAAGTTCCTGTGGGTAGCCAAAAGAGAAAGATTATACTTGGCAGAAGGATCTGAGAAAGTTTTAAAGGAGGTGGCAGTGGGTTAGCCATTAGGAAAGGTCGTATGCAAGTGGAGATGTGTGAAAAGAGCATTTTAGGAAAATGAAGTAAGAACTAAGCAAGTAGGAATTAAAGTGTGAGAAAGATAGTTCCCGAAATTGTCAAGATCTTTTCTAGAATTTTCAAGACCTTAGACCTTAGAACACAATTTTAACAGAACTAGAGAAATACTGAATCAAATTACTTGAACATGTCTTTTTATTTCTTTTTTAGGCTTACATAAAGATCTATCAAGGTGAAGAATTACCACATCCCAAATCCATGTTACAGGTACTTATTAATCAGGAGGCATGACATTTTAAAACATACCTGTCATTAAAGCTAAGCTTTTCCTAGCGTTAAGCTATGCTAAGATAAAGGTATACTCCAATCTGTCAGAAATTACCAAATAAAAACAGTGGACAGAATGATACCCTTCTGTGTTCAGCTAACCATTTTCACATTCACATACAGTAGCCTCACTTAGGCTGAGAAACAGACACTTAATACCAAGAGCTGTCTTTCTCTTTCTACTAAATTTGTTTAGAAAACAGATTCAGTATGGTTTAGATTCACACATGTAACAAGAAGTAGAAAAGCAGGTCCTCTGGGTATTAACTGGTCTCTATAGACATAAAGGAGAAATTAACTTTTTCCTTATTTTAAAATTTTAAGTTTGTAATAATTCCTTTTTGTTATCAATGATATACTTTTTATCAGTAGCAGTCTATAAACCTGACATATTTTTGTATGTATTAGTGTATATGAAATGTCTTATACATTATTTCCCATGTGTTTGGATTTATAGATTTCCCCCCCATATTTGGTGAGAGGTTTAAAAAAAATGAAGACAAATATTTCAAATGAAAATTCATTTTAGAACTATGATTTATTGAGTAAACTTGTTTTATGCATTTTGATTTTTTAATTTTACTAAATTTTTAAAATGTGAAAATACTGCAACACTTTCAAGTTATTTGATGACCTTGGGTTCTTGCACATGATGCTTATAATAAATGAGAATTGCCTGTAGAGCTTTGATAAATGAATTCCATTGTATCTCATATTTTGTACTTTGTCCAAAGGCCACAGCAGAAGCTAACAATTTAGCAGCCGTGGCAACTGCCAAGGATACATACAACAAAAAAATGGAAGAGGTAAGAATTAAATACTTTAAATGATCTTTTTTAAATACGTGCAGTATTTCTTCCATGAGCTTTCTTTTTTTTCTTCCAAGATACAGTGTAAACACATACAGAGGTGGCTTTGACTTATTCTTTCTCAGTCTGTGTGCATCACATTTCTATTTGTTGTATTCCTAAAATATTAAAAAAATAAAACAGGAACACTGCACAACTTTAAGTGACATTTCTATTGAGAATACTTTTTTTTTCTTGCTGTATCTACCTGCTATTTGTATCTAGTGGTTAAAATAACATGTGCTACCCTCTCCACTACTTCCCTACATTCCACAATTCCAATATTTCTATCTTAAATATTAAAAACCTGTTAGGAAAAAAAAGGAACTGCAACGGTCAGTATTTGATGTATTATATTGCTCTTTTTGTTGTAGCATTCTTTATTAGGATTCATCCAATAACTACCATATATATCTAATGTGATAAATTTTTTCCCCTGGAAATATTATAAGATAAAAATTACCTACAAAATTGATGGAGTTTTAGAATCAAGAGAAATACAGTATATGGAATGACATTTACAGCATACAAACGGGCATCCTTTATATAGTTAAATCTCAAATAACCAAAGTGAATGGTATGGATAACTGAGATTTCCTTTTTAACTTCTGAACAATTGAAAATGTGGTCCAACATTTAATATGCTTCCACTTAGTCTCTTCAAGAAAATACTGGATGGGCTCCACTCAAATAAGAATCAGTAAAACTGCCAAAGAAAATGTTTTTCACAATTTTACTTTAGAGCTTTATAACATTGCTGATGGTTTTAAACTTCATTGGTCAAAATTTCTTCAGTGTAATTAGGATAAATATTCTAGAGGGATTTAGATGTAAGTAGTTTTCTTGAATTCAGATTTATTCTGTGAATGAACTCAGTTTGCAGTTATCATGATTTTTCCTCTTGAGAATACATCATGCGTATTTTCTCCATTCTTTTATTCTCAAAAAGAGGATAAAAACCAAGAATGACTTTATATTAAGTCACCTACAAAGTAGCAGTCCCACTTAGAGTCACAGCTGATAGATATGGAATATGGAAAGATAGGTTGAGAAAACATATTATGCAAGCTCCTGATTACTGTGTTCTAACAAACTAGCTAAATGCAAGTTTGATACAGTTGCTAATTTTACTCTGCATTGCATAAATACTTCTCTACCTGATACAGATTTGTGGTGGTGACAAACCATTTCTGGCCCCTAATGACCTGCAGACCAAACATCTGGAGCTTAAGGAAGACTCTGTGAAGCTATTCCGAGGGGTGAAGAAGATGGGTGGGGAGGAATTCAGCCGGCGTTACCTGCAGCAGTTGGAGAGTGAAATAGATGAACTTTACATCCAGTATATCAAGCACAATGATAGCAAAAATATCTTCCACGCAGCTCGTACCCCAGCCACACTGTTTGTTGTCATCTTTATCACATACGTGATTGCTGGTGTGACTGGGTTTATTGGTTTGGACATCATAGCTAGCCTATGCAATATGATAATGGGACTGACCCTTATCACCCTGTGCACCTGGGCATACATCCGGTACTCTGGAGAATACCGAGAGCTGGGAGCTGTAATAGACCAGGTGGCTGCAGCCTTGTGGGACCAGGTAGGAATGTTTTCTCTTCAACTAAATTCAGCACACATTTGAATGTATCTATGTACCAGACACTATGTTAGATGTTGGAAATATACAGATGAACATGACTTGGGCCCCACCCTTCAAGACTAACCAAGGTGGCCAAATACACCTAACTATAATACAGTATGTGAAGTCTGACACAAATTTTCCAATTAACACTTCAGTATTATTTAAAAATACATGATTAGGCAGTGTTTTTACTTTTTCTTATCCTAAGAGTTAGTTATTAAAAGTGTGAGAAAACACAATTGAGCTTTCACTTTGCTGGTTGTGGCTTGACTTGACACTTACAACCTACCATTTGACCAGCACTGGCTTTGTTAGGAGCATGTATAAACCACTATCATGAGTTGTATCACTGTCTTGTTTAGTATAAACTCCTAAAAGCAGTATCTGATTACTTCAGATTTCTTTTTGAACTAGGCTTGACACCAGGCCATAGAGTGAGCCCAGGCCAACCTTTTTATCAGCTGCTCATGGGTCAGTTGTCCAACTAACCATATTCTAAGGAGTCAGGGTCACCATCGTCATTTGTTCAATCAGTTGATTATGGATAGCAGAGACAATTATAAACACACACACCTAGAACAATAATCAACTCACTGCATCATTGTGGAAAAGTTTTAGTTACCACATGAAAATTTACAGAAATTTAGTGAAAATCAAATTGAAATTCTTCATAAAATTTTGGAATTAAGACTTGAATGTTTAAGGTCTGCAGGTAGCAATAGTTACAGTTCTCCTAGTAATCAAAGTATATATACTCTTTAAAATAGAACTGTAACTAATGGTTTTGCCATGTGCCTTTGAAGCATCTAGTTGAGAGAAACTAATGATAGCACTAAGGGGAAAAGAATGCATTTAAAACTGGATCCTCTGAGTCCCTGTCTCCAACAGCCTCTCAACCTCGAAAGACTGAAGGGGCTATTTGAGGCAAATTGCAAAGCCCTCCTAGAATGATGCTGAAACCTATGAGGAATAATATAGAATTGGGTTCTTCAAAAGATTCAGATAAAATATGTAATTTAAACTGAAAAAATCTGCAAGAGTATTCTTAAATGCTTGCAAATTGACACTGTAAACAAAGTTAAATTATAATAATGCTATTGATGAAGCAGTATATATACTTTTCTCTTCTTCCTTTTAAACTGCCTTTGCCACAGGGAAGTACAAATGAGGTAAGTTAAATTTTTTTAATTAAGAGCTTTATATTTGTAAACATTATATTCTTGTCTTATAAACTAGTCATTAAAGGATATCTCAATGTACACTAGAACATCTTCAGTCTCTACTGTTCCTGTGTTCATCTAGCATTTACAATTCTGTGAATTTTTGACGTTGTTTTAAAATATTTATTCCAGACATCATGATTTCATATGCATATGAAACACAAGAATTATGATCATGAATATTTTGTTTTGTTTCCTATGTGTAGAAAATTTCAAAATTCTTAAGGTCTAACACTGTGCATTTTACTCAACTGCCGAGTTAAACAAGTACAATTAAGAATCTGGAGGAATCTTAACTAGTGGAAAGTATTTAAATGGAGCTATAATGTTTAAAAGTTGTTTTTAACTGGCTTTTGAATGACAGCTACCTATACCATTTCTCAGGTTCTAGGCTATTATGCAGTGTTAACTTTCTTGGCAGACTTCAGACCTAACCTGTAAACTGGAGTTCATTTCTCCTATTGCACATGTGTAAAACTATATTTGAGGAAAGAATCTAAGCTTTCAGGAAGGAATCATTTGTTACATAAGAAAAATGATCTCTTTGGAGTCATTTAGGTCATTATCTTCAAAGCAAACTGATCTGGAACAACTACAGAGATAGCACACAACTCTTTCCTCAGTTTCTGCTGTTACATGTAACTGGAGTTATGTTCTCTAATCAAATACCAATGATACACTTTACATTACTAGTCAAAAAGGAATTATTTTATGTAAAATTCAGTAAAACAAATTCACTACAAAAGCAAAAACAAATTTCAACTTTGTAAGTCCAATGTCAAGGAAAAAAACTAAGCCTAAGAGAACAGGGATTTAATTGCGTGTGTTAGACTAGGACAACACCATGTTGCACCAATATGCATTCATGGAACTGAAGATGGTACCAATTCAGACTTACTAGACATATACTTCAAAAAGGTAAAAATTAATGGTATTTCCTGAGAATTGATTACTATTTAAAGGATATCAAGCTTTTAGGCAGCTTTTAAAAATAGACTTTTTACAGACTCCAGAATTACAGCAGGTTAAGTTGGTTTTAACTGTTTACTATGTGAAAGGAGGCAATGACACTAGCTGAGGCAGTAAAAGAGAACATAAAAATATTTATGCACACTTATATAAAGCAATATATAAAAATTCTTATGATTCAAACAGACACAACAATCACAGAGGTAGTTTTTAACAAGAAAAGGCTGTGAGGTAATGTTTCTGAATAAAGTTTTTAAGTGTGAACTAATTAATGGGAACAAGGCAAGGGAGCATGTTTAAGTGACTGATCCCAGTATGGCAGGAGGAGGGCCAACATATGTAGCTTATTTGCAAGACCCTATCAGGAAATAATGGAAAATCAAAGTGGTTCCATTCTAAAAATCCTGTAAGAAAACCCTGATAGCAAGTGTCTAGCTATGTATAATAAAGTAGCTATTGGCAGCCAGAAGTTAGGAGCTCCTATAATTTTTCTAAAACTGTAATATTCACAGTATGAGTTCTCAACTCGCCCCTGGGGCATAGTGGTTAGGAAGGTCTGCTCCAGTGATGTGCAGGGTAATAGGAAATGCAGTCTGAGAAAACATTTACCACAAAGATCAGTCCACAAAGGTAATTATATATGCACTTAGGAGAGTGGAAAATACCTTTGAGTTCTAAGATATTAGTTATTAATTTATATCTTATATAATGACAGAAAGTTTCCAAATTTATCCTGCTGAATTTCATATAGTACTATAAGTTAATGTATGCACTAAAGAGGAAAAATTTTTACATCTGTGTGTTTAACAGAATGTCTTGTCATCTTGATTCTTGTATTTCCAGGCTTTATACAAGCTTTACAGTGCAGCAGCAACACACAGACACCTGTATCATAAAACAGACACAACAATCACAGAGGTAGTTTTTAACAAGAAAAGGCTGTGAGGTAATGTTTCTGAATAAAGTTTTTAAGTGTGAACTAATTAATGGGAACAAGGCAAGGGAGCATGTTTAAGTGACTGATCTCAGTATGGCAGGAGGAGGGCCAACATATGTAGCTTATTTGCAAGACCCTATCAGGAAATAATGGAAAATCAAAGTGGTTCCATTCTAAAAATCCTGTAAGAAAACCCTGATAGCAAGTGTCTAGCTATGTATAATAAAGTAGCTATTGGCAGCCAGAAGTTAGGAGCTCCTATAATTTTTCTAAAACTGTAATATTCACAGTATGAGTTCTCAACTCGCCCCTGGGGCATAGTGGTTAGGAAGGTCTGCTCCAGTGATGTGCAGGGTAATAGGAAATGCAGTCTGAGAAAACATTTACCACAAAGATCAGTCCACAAAGGTAATTATATATGCACTTAGGAGAGTGGAAAATACCTTTGAGTTCTAAGATATTAGTTATTAATTTATATCTTATATAATGACAGAAAGTTTCCAAATTTATCCTGCTGAATTTCATATAGTACTATAAGTTAATGTATGCACTAAAGAGGAAAAATTTTTACATCTGTGTGTTTAACAGAATGTCTTGTCATCTTGATTCTTGTATTTCCAGGCTTTATACAAGCTTTACAGTGCAGCAGCAACACACAGACACCTGTATCATCAAGCTTTTCCTGCACCAAAGTCAGAAACTACTGAACAATCAGATAAGAAGAAAATTTAATCCAAATGTAAAAAAATACAGGTGCATGATCAGTTCAATTAAATGTTCAGTTTTATGTCTCCATGCAAACATTCACAGTGCTTCCATCAGAGCAGAGTAAAATACCAAGCACCTCTGAAGACTGCAAAATGGTTTAGTTCTTTTACTTCAGTGTTTAATAAGCAAACCTATGTATGCATGGTTATATCATTTTGTTAATGTGCAGTTTCCTGATTTTGTCCTCAAATACGCTATTATAATTTACAATATTTGTCTATTTATGATGACAGTACATGTGTTCTGCTTGAATTTACTGAATTCTACTACTGGGTTATAATTAAACCATGTAGTAATATTACTCCATGTTTGGATATACTCATTTAATTTCTACAGAATTTAAAAATTTGTTCACAGTCATTTGTTAAAGCATAGCATCAGAACTCAACAGGCTTGATTCAATCTATATCATCCTACACATACCACGAACTCCTATTTTTAAAGATATTTAAGAGAGCCTTTTAGTTGCTTAATCAATCTATATATTGCTTCTTTTTTATGACAATATAGAATATAAACCTTTTAATCAAAAATGCACACAAAAATCACTTTGTATATGTATTCTGAGTTTCACTGCACTGTAGATTTTTTCATTTTGCACACAAAGAAATGTATTCTTCATAGGTTTATTCTTTTAATGTGGACTAGTATTAAAGTTTACTCTGGTTCATAAGAATAAAAACATGCTTACTGAATTGGAAATGTTTGGAAGGTGTTGATATAGAATGAAGGTTTATCTCTCTTTTTAAAATTCAAAATGCATTTTCTCTAATATTGGCACCATTACAAATTAGGTTTCCATTTTAAAAAACATATGATAATCCCTTTAGGTATCTTCCAGTTCTTTTTAAATAAACCAGTGATTCTATATTGTATTTCTCATTACTAAATCTCTAGTGGAATTTCATTGAGCATGCCTTTTAGAGAAAAAAAACATGGTTATTAAAAAAGAAAATGCCTTGTGTGGCAGAGCTAAAACAGAGTCATTTCTAACTTTCTTAAAAATGGCTAACCCTTAATTAATGGTAATGCAAAGTAAGGAGTAACAGAGAAGAATGATTACGGCAGAACAGTGTGAGAGAATTCGTAAGATAGATAAGCTTATATCTTAGAAAAGTTTGATCACATGCCCTGCAAAATAACTTTCCACTGGTAAGATTCCACTAGCTTATTTTCATTTTTCAATACTGCTTCCTCTGCCTATGAGTCTTCTGAAAAGTCAAATATTTATAGCACTATATATAAAACATGGACTCAAACACAACACACTGTTTCCACAAAAATATATTTAATAAGCTTGTTATATAAAATCAAACATTTTAATATTTCCAACATTTTATCAGTAATTCAAACTCACTGATATCTAACTGGAGTGCCTTTTGTATTCTGGAGGATTACCTAAAAACGTATTTACATATTTATAATACATGTAAATATAACTGAAGAACTACTTCAACTAATGTGAAATTCACAGAATTCTAGAGATTTATAGGCTAGAAGTGCCATAAATCTGTCTGCAATCAAATGTACTGTACTAATTATGAACAATGTCTTCATAACTATTAAACCAAGAGGAGAAATATTGGTAGGAAATATTGGGTTTTAAAGTTCTGTGACAAACTCTCAGAAGATAAAAGATACATAAAAATCAATTTAATGGCCAAAATGTCTTAATCCCTGATTGTCAATTTTGGCAGCTCAACCCATTCTCTCAGGATGGCAGCCTGCTCTGATGTCGGTAACTGACCACTGTCTCATCAGAGCTGCGCTACTAAATGCCTAAGAGCCCTGGCTGAAAGTAAGGAAGCGATGTCAGCAATTCTGCATGCTTGCACACCTTCTCCACATGGGCTAAGGCCTTATGCTTCGATTTATTCCTGAAAGATTACAAGCCCTTCACCCTTTCATACCAAAAATTACTCCCTCAACATGTTTTAAAAGCATTCTTTACATTTTGTGGGGAGGGGAACCCCATGTTACATAGAAAAATTTATTATAATAAAGGACTCAAACCTCATTTAGTGTTTTGAACTACATAATAGTAATATCTAAACATCCAATTCCACATAATATTCCACAATAAAGCAGTAAACATTGTTTTAAAAATACTGCATAGGTTATCACTCTTTTGTAAAGAAAGGTATTGTTACTTAAGAGTTTACCAAGTGACCATTTCCTATTTAATAACCTGGCTATAATGACATTTCTTGCCACATTTGTCTCCAGGGAGAACATTCAAGCAGCTTCCTAATATACAGCATTTAGAATTGTTTACCATGTTGGCTCTTAAAATGATGAACTCTTTTTTTTGCTCAATAAAAGAATATTTTTAATAACAAAAAACATGTAAAATTAGAAATTTATAACTTCCAAAAAAAAGTAAGCTGCCTTCATTAATCAAAGTACTTGTTTGCAGTTTTTTTAATCTGTGAAAATATTTTAAAGCCCTTAGAAAACTTAAACATTATTTTAAAAAAATTAAAAATTCTTGCCATGTTGCTGGGCATACCACTGCTGTCTCTGCTTGCGGTTTTCCAACTCTGTGAGAAGAGCCTGTCTGTAGGCTTCATACATTTTAACAATCTGTTCCAGTTCTTTCATGAAAAGCAACTTTAGCATTCCCTGGTATGTATCCAGGTCAGCCAGCTGGAAGAGTTCCCATTTCAGAATGTGGTCATATCTATTTTAAAACACAATCATACATGTGTTCACAACACATAAATAAATACATATTTATAGCAATAAACTGGTCTATTTTTTATAAATATTAACTTTATCATGACTAAACAGATCATAAGCTTTAGTTAAAAATAACAGTTATTACCTGCTATTTAAATATACTGCAGGAGAGGAGAAATTGCTAATATTACTTCATTTCAATTTAAGTTCAAAAATACTCATTTCTTTTAAGCTTAAAGTATCAGTTATTCTAATATCATTATTAAACAACAATGAACACAGATTCAAACCACTGTGGTTCTATAATTTCTAAAGAACACATCCTAAGCTATTTTTAAGTTCATCCCAAGTTGTCAAGAACTAAAGAATACTTCAGACCACATTGTACCTGTAAACAACAATACTCAAAAATGGGCAAGATCATTTGTGTCATTAGTGTTTAGAGCTTTTTGAGGAATGCTGTTCATTCCAGCAAATAAGAAACTAAAAAGAAGAATGGGGCTGAGTTCATCTGCGGCTAAGTTTTCCTGAGGCTGAGTATACAGTATTAAAAACAAAAACAAAAACAGGAAAACTCAGGAGAAAGGAAAGAAAGCTCTTTTCAAAATGACAGAGTAAGGACACTGCAGAAGACTCCATAATGTGGGGAAGAAGATTACATTTATGTATATAATTTTTATTTTATTATGTAAGATTAGATTTATATGTATCTCAGAAGCCTTTAATCTTTCTTCAATGGTAAGTAGATCAAATACTGAGGTGGGAGTATGCAACAAACTACTAAAGCAGTATATACACTTTGAGTTGAAAGAGACTAAGAAGACATCACTAATCCAATTTGCTTCTTTCACAGATGAAATAACTAAAACCTAAAGAGGCTACAATCTCTTGCAAAATTTTTTAGTGACTCACAGAACAGAAAGGTAGAGAATTACAGACTAGGATTTTTCAGAAAAATAGTTTTGAATGTTAATACCTACTAAGACTAGACAAAGAACTTGAACTAGAGCAAGGCAAGTACCTATATGATACTGAAGTTATACTTTTCAAATCATGCTGCAGAGCAGACATAATAGGAAACTTTAATTGTAAATTCTATTAAATTTATTTTTAATAGTAATTTATAATGTTTCCTACTCAATGGCCCTTTATTTGGTAATTCATTGACCATCTTATTCCAAAAGGATCATCTAAATTTTTTAAGGGATTTTTAGAAAAAGGGAAACAATAAGCAGTAAATACTGATCTCCACTATGAGTCACAAACTGTGCCTGGCACAGTGACATACATTCTGTACACCTGGGGTATGTGTACCAGGAACACCAGAAGCACAGTGTGCAAAACCACGAAGTTCACATATTTTGTTGGTTCCCAGTTTTACTCATTTAATTCCTTAATAAGCACTGCAAATTTACCAACAGATGTACTTTGTAGGAAGCTTTATATTCTCTATAGTGGGAAATTCCAACTACTTGCCAACATAAATTGGAGAAATAGTCTAAGAAATATTCATTGAGCTTCCTGAAGGAAGAGTTTTAAATTGTTTCCTGGAACCTCTGCCATTCATGTAGCTTAAGATTTTACTTACATGTTTGAAACAAATTCATAATTCCTAACAAAAAAACCTCAATTTTCCAGAGTCTGAATTCTGTAGCTAAGAGACATTCCATTAATGTCTAACTGATTCCAGATGCTTAGGTTTATGCAGGGTAAACTATGATAATGTTAAAAAGCTCACTTATCATCTGTGTTCTTTCTAACAAGGAAAAAAAAGGGAAGAGAATAAAATGATAAATCTCAAACTTATTTTTAAGACAAAAATATTCTGTATAAGCATTCAAGTTTTTAAAAATGGAAGAAAAAAAAAGCTTCAGACAAAACTGAGGCTTTTAGATTATAACCCTCAAAGATCATCTTGTTTCTCTGTATCAGGCCACAGATCAACAACTGTCAATTTATAGACTGAAAAAAGAATGGAGGGAAATATAAGGGAATGTTTATTTTGGCTACAAATTAATTATTCTGAGTAAATGACCAATAACTTTATGAGAACATTAAACTGACCTAAATTAGTAGAATCATGGTCAAATAATGAGAAAGAGCCAGCTACTCAAAAGCCTGAAAAAAAAGCTAATAACGAATGGTCCCAAGCTAGAAAAAGTAAAATCTCTAGGCTAAAGGAATACACATATGCATTCAGACACACACACACACACACACACACACACACACACACACACACACACACACACACACACACACACCTGTAAATGGTTGGTAAATATATAATAAGATGGCAAAAATGTAGATTAGAGGTGGCTTAACCCCCTGGAAATTTTATTTCAATGGTCACGCTTTAAAATCATAGGAAACAGTTACTATTTCAAAGATGTATATATGATTTTACATTACTTTTATTTGAATAGCAAAGATTTAATTAATTATTTTATTCCAGGCTTATTGTTCAATCATCTTAAACTCTCTAAAACTCTCCATTGAGCTATTTTATGCTGACAATTTTGGTATCTAAATTACAACAGGGAAATAAACACTAAGGCTACAAAAACCAATAACTGAATGTTACCTTAATAGTTAAAAGTACATGCAGTTAAAAAGTCTTAAAGGCTTACAAGATACTACCCCCCCAAAAAAGTGTAATCATTATGTGTAAAATGCCTAGCAAAGTACTAGGAATTTTATAGCTGCTCAGTAAATGATAATTATTATTAACTAAGAAAGTATTACTGACAAAAGTTAAGCACATGATCTCTGAAGTTAGAGATAAAGGTTTGAAATCTACCACTTAATAGTTGTGTGATCTTAGCAGAGATAAAGGCTCCATTTTTTTCACCTGTAAAATGTGTTTTGGAAAAATCATGAGATAACGTACCTAGAAGTTTAACACAGTAAGGTACACAGGAAGCACTGGATAATAAATACTTACTTTCAAACACACCTTTTACTGAAATCATAGCACTGTGTACATACTACCATTATCTATCCTTATCACACTGGGTCACTGATCTGAGTACCTGCTTCTGTTTTCCCAAGAGAAACCCTCTTTGAGGGAAAGTTTTCAATTACTCATAATTATATTCCAAGAACAGTACCTAATATGGCACCCAATAAATATCCTCAATTAGCCTGGTGGACACACAGCCATATTTAAAAACGAGCCCATGCATTTTCTTCTTCAGTGCAGCTTTCTTGTTCCACTCACTCTGATAATCAGAAACCATTATAGGAGGCTTATGCCAGGCAGCTACTCTGCCATGTGTTTTAAAAATGCATAATCACATTTAAGCTTCACCACAGCAAGTAAGGTAGGTTAAGATTATTATCCCATGCTTCAGTAAAGGAAAAACACATCTACCCTCAATAATCATTTAGTGAGCTCTCAGTGTGCAAGCCATTGTGATAAATACTTCGATGCATTATTTTACT